ACTTTAACGATCCAAGGATATCTAGTGCGGAGCTACGGGATCTTCTTCTTCATTCTATATTGGTCTTGGTACAAGACACGGAATTCTTGGCTGCTTTTGAATGTAACAAAGCAGCAAGAGAAAGGATGCCAAAAGCTTTATTGTCAGCTTTTGATAATCGGTCCTGGATTCCTGTGACTAATATACTTCTTAGGTTATGCAAGGGCTCCGGTTTCGGGTTTTCAAAACGTGGAGAGTCTTCATCCTCGTCTGTACTATTTCAGGTGACAATAGTTATTTGTTTATTTGATAAAAGATTGAGTGCTTGCAAACACATTGTTAGCTTCTGGACGAAAAAAAAAAAATAGTAGTTATTACTGTTTTCAAATGCTAGCTTCTACATGGTTTCATCAGAACCTAAAAGCAGAGAAGTTGCTTAATATTCGGGTCTTGCTTTAGTTAGATTTTTGCTCACAAGTGAAGGGCTTCTGCAAATTTTGTCCAAAGACATTTTTGAACTTCTCTTTCTTTTCTTTTTTCCATTTCCTTTTGCTTCAACTTCAAAAGTCACTTTCTATAGAAGCAGATGTTTATGCAACTATTCCCTTAGCCTGCTTAGTACTACTTTTTCATTCTTCCATTTTTTTATATTAAATATGTTTCTGGACTTCTAATTCTGAAGAGATTGCTGCGGGAAGCTTGCATCAGTGACGATGAATTATTCTCAGCTTTTCTCAACCGGTTGTTTAATACTCTTAGCTGGGCCATGACAGAATTTTCTGTTTCAGTTCGTGAAATGCAAGAAAACAAGGTACATTCTGTTGATACTGTCATGTTACAGTAATCTTGATAATCAGGTGTATTCAAATGGAAAAATACTCCCTTTTGTAGTTGAATATTATAAATTGCACATTTAGAGATTTATCTATTTTAGCTAAACCGAAAACTTAAAGAGGGCATGTATATCTGATTTGTTATCGGGATATCTGTAACCTTTGATGGATAACTGGATCGTTTTGTAGTTAGATCGCACCTTATAAACGTGTAAGTAAATCAGTAACCTAATCCCACATTGAAGATTTATTGAATGAATTGTTTGCATTTGCAGTTGAAGGAACTCCAGCAAAGGAAATGCAGTGTGATATTTGATCTCTCTTGCAACCTTGCAAGGGTATTAGAGTTCTGTACACGCGAAACGCCTCAAGCTTTTGTTTTGGGAATGGACACAAACTTGCGAAGGCTGGCTGAGTTAATAGTCTTCATATTGACCCACCTAATTGTTGCGATCGACCCAGAAGACCTGTAAGTTTGTCAATTTGGATTTTTCTTTTTTATTCATTTACTTCACATGTAGCTCAAACATTCTTCGATTTCTCCTAAAACCGTTTGCATGAACTAAACTCTTTCTTTTTATTAATTTTCTCTTTTTACTCGGTTTCTCTCAACAAAATTCTGTCGCTTGTAATATGCAGATCGATTAGACGATCAGGTCATTCTTCTGAGAAGATCAATAGTGGCATGATTTTAGCACCACTTGCCGGCATTATTCTGAACTTGTTGGATGCAAGTAGAGACTCTGATAATGGGGCTCAAAATGATATTGTTAGTCTCTTTGCCAGCATGGAATGTGCTGATACTATACGATGTGGATTTGAGTATCTCCTCAATTACAATTGGGTGCGTATTAATCACGTAAATAGCAGATTAAGCACTTAAAAAATTTGCATAATGATTAACTTTTGCTAATATGTTCATATAGTCATGTAAATATTTAACTAGTATTGTTGTAATCGGTTCGGTAACCCGTTGCCAGCGCTAATTGCTGATGTCATCTCATACTTCACTATCAAACTCCTGAACATTTAGAATCATCACATTATAATCATCTCATTTTAACAATACTTGTTTTTGTGAAGCTGAAAGTAGGAAAAAGTCGACACTTTCTGGCCTTCACTTTCCGACTAATTCCTGATAATTGTTTTCAATGGATCTTACCAGGCGGGCTCCACCAAGGGAGAAGATTACAAAGATGAACTGTCGAAGCTAAATACATTCTCGAGCCGCATGATCAGTCGGTCAGAGCTGCAAGCGAATAAGAAGAGGACACATGGCGGAGATTCGGAAACAGAAGACAATAGCCTTTGCTGCATATGCTACGAAAATAAGGCGGAAGCTCGTTTTTCGCCTTGTTCGCACGTCTCCTGCTACAGCTGCATA